AAAAAAAAAGATATTAAAACCAAACTTCAAGGCTGAGTGGAATGGCTTATGCCTGTAATCCTAGCACTCTCAGAGGCCAAGGTGGGTGTATTGCCTGAGCTAATGGGTTGGAGACCAGCCTGAGCAAGAGCGAGACCCCATCTCTAAAAATAGCTGGGTGTTGTGGCAGGTACCTGTAGTTCCAGCTACTCAGGACGCTGAGGTAAGAGAATCACTTGAACCCAAGAGTTTGAGGCTGCTCAAAGCTATAACTCCACCGCACTCTACCAAAGGCAATGAAGTGAGACTCTGTCTCAAAAAAATAATTTAAAAAAAAGGAAGAAATAGGCGCCTGACACAATGCCCAGCTATTTTTTGTTGTTGTTGCATTTGTCATTGTGTTTAACTGGCCAGTTTTGAACCCACCAACTTCGGTGTATGTGGCTGGTACCATAACCACTGTGCTATTTGTTTTTGTTTTGGAGACTCAGTTTGTCACCCTTGGTAGAGTGCTGTGGTGTCACAGCTCATAGCAACCTCAAACTGTTGAGCTCAAGCAGTTCTCTTGCTTCAGCGTCCCCGAGTAGCTGAGACTACAGGTACCCACCACAACTCCTGGCTGTTTTTAGAGGAGAGTCTTGCTCTTGCTCAGGCTGGTCTCAAATCTGTGAGCTCAGATAATCCACTGCCTCACCCCCCAGAATTCTGGGATTATAGGCATGAGCCACCACGTGTGGCCCAGAACTGTATGTTTTGATGTACTTTTTCATTTATTATTAACTTTTTAAAAATATCTAGTTTCAAATAATTTATTAGAGGGTAAATCCCCACATTTATATATGTCAGTCAGTTATTCAGTTTGGTGGTTTGTGTGTGTTCGAATTAAGTCTAAGAGGACCAGGTTGGATGTTGCTCATACCTATAATCCTAGCACTCTGCGAGGCTGAGAAGGGAGGATCCCTTGAGCTCAGGAGTTCAAGACCAGCCTGAGCAAGAGTCTGACCCCCTGGCTACTAAAAATAGAAAAATTAGTGGGGTGCTATAGCAGATGCCTTTAGTTCTAACTACTGAGGAGGCTAAGGCAGGAGGATTGCTTGAATCCAGGAGTTTCAGGTAGTTGTGACTAGGCTGACACCATGGAACTCTATCCTGAGGCAACAGAGTGAGACTCTGTCTCAAAAATTAAGTCTTAGAGAATATAGTTTTGTATGTTGTAGAGAAGACTAGTATGTGATGGTTAATTCTGATGAGTATTGCTAGTTTCTAGTCCAGATATTAGAAATGATAGGAAGAACTGTGTGAAGAAGATTCTTTCTGAACTATATCTTACCTTTAAGATGAAGGCAGTAGGCTTGGTGCCTGTGGCTCAAGTGACTAAGGCGCCAGCCACATACACCTAACATGGCAGTTCAAATCCAGCCCGGGCTCACCAAACAACAATGACAGCTGCAACCAAAAAATAGCCGGGCGTTGTGACGGGTGCCTGTGGTCCCAGCTACTTGGGAGGCTGAGGCAGGAGACTCGTTTGAGCCCAGGAGTTGGAGGTTGCTGTGAGCTGTGATGCCAGGGCACCCTACCCAGGGGGACAGCTTGAGGCTCTGTCTCAAAAAAAAAAAAAAAAAAAAAAAAGATGAAGGCAGTAAAACATTCAGTTGAATGATGAGTATATTAAATGCAGATCAAGAAACAGAAAATGGGCTTGGTAGCTAAATGGTTAGGGTGCCAGCCACATATACTGGGGCTGGCAGGTTTTAAACTGGCTGAGGCCTGCTAATGACAACAACAACAAAATAGCCAGGCGTTGTGCCAGGCACCTGTAGTCTCAGCTACTTGGGAGGCGAGGCAAGAGAATCGCTTAAGCCCAAGAGTTGGAGGTGGCTGTGAGCTGTGATACCATGGCTCTCTACTGAGGGCAACACAGTGAGACTGTCTAAAAAAGAAAGAAAGAAAGAAATAGAAAATGATGAACATGGCTGGGTGGGGTGGCTCATGCCTGTAATCCTAGCACTCTGGGAGGCCCAGGCAGGTGTATTGCCTGAGCTCACTGGTCTCAAACCAGTGTGAGCAAGAGCAAGACCCTGTCTCTAAAAAATAGTTGGGTCGGGGCAGTGCCTGTGGCTCAAAGGAGTAAGGCGCTGGCCCCATATGCCAGAGGTGGCGGGCTCAAACCCAGCCCTGGCCAAAAACTGCAAAAAAAAAAAGAAAAAAATTGTCTTGAGACTATTTGGCTCCAGCACCTGTGGCTCAAGCGGCTAAGGCGCCGGCCATGTACACCTGAGTTGGCAGGTTCGAATCCTGCCCGGGCCCCCCAAACAACAATGACAGCTGCAACCAAAAAATAACCAGGCATTGTGGCAGGCACCTGTAATCTCAGCTACTTGGGAGGTGGAGGCAGGAGACTCGCTTGA